CCTCATTTATTTAGACTATAGTTCTTTGAAATCCTAATACATCAAGAATCAATTTATAAATTTATAATATTGATCCATTTTGTAGTTTTGTATCACTATTTGTATCTAGATAAATATGATTAAGTCAAATTTCTGATCCTGATATGAGTTGCAATTTCTGGAACACAAAGCTAAGAAGGAAGTTATCACAGGTGCAAGATGTGCAAGAGAAAATGCTTAGTTAAAAAATTACACATATTTGTGCTTACTAACAAAGGATGCATAAAATTACTAAGAAAAGAAAAATCTGAATTATAACTTGGAACTTTTTTACCTGAGGAAATGAATTCATTAAAATATTTCATATTTTAAGAAATTAATTGTTGCAATGGCAAAGAACAGTAGGATATGTGTGTACGAGAAATTATTGAAAATCTCAGATTTGAGTGATGGTTTTTTAATTATTCTATATAGAATATAAGTGGAAAATATTAAGGGGAAAATATATATGCGTGAGTACAAAATGTGTTTGCTAGATTTCAGACCAATGTGTATTATTTTTTTCCACAGATATGTGAGTGCTGAGCACTCAGGAATTGATCCAGAATTTTCCTGTTATATGTTAACCAGCACTAAAATGCACAGCTGTACATAGTGAAATGTACAAATAAAAAAATCAATATACATTAAGGAAGGATAGAAATTTAGTGGCTATTAGATTCAGTGGTGGAAAGACTGCCATTTTTTTAAAAGCATTACTGCACTTTATAATCTAAATTATCAATTGTCAATAAATGAGTATGATATTAGCTTTTTAAAATTAAAAATCAACATTTGAACTATGAAAACGGATGCTCGACTAGAAGAACTGATGACTGAACTCAACAATATGCACTGGGATATCATTGGATTATGTGAAACACAACGAAAAGGCAAAGACTTAGTTGAACTTTTTAGGACTGGGCATTTATTATACACTAGATGTACCAAAGATGGACAAAGTGGCCGAGTTAGTTTTTTTCCAAACAAAACAAAATCAAACAAAAGATGAAAGACTGTGTAATAAAATTTGAAACTATACATGAGACAGTCCAATGCATCATTTAATTGAATAAACAATACAAGCTTCAAATCATCCAAGCTTACCAGCCAAAAATAAGCTATAGTGATGATGAGGTCAAAGAGTTTTACAATGATGTGGCTGACCTTGAAGACAAAGAAAAATGCCAATACAAAATAATAATGGGTGACTTTAATGCAAGAATAGGAAGAACAATACCGGAGAAAAAGTGACTGGTCCACATGGAAGTTGTGAATAGATAATAGAGGTGACAGACTAGTAGATTTTGCTGAAATTTTGCAGGAATTGTATATCTTGAACTCATTTTACAAGAAAACGGCTAGCAAAAAATGGACATGGAAGAGTCCATCGAAGTAGACAAGTGAAATTGAGTACAACATGTCAAGTGACAAAACCATATTCTGCGATTGTACAGTCATCAATTGCGTTAACATTGGAAGTAAGTCACCATAGAATATACAAGGTAAAATGAAGATTGACTGTCAAAAAAGCTGTATGAAAATGATAAAGATGTAACGAAAAATAAAAATAAAGAATAGAGTGATAAGGTGTTGGGGAAGTATAGTGATTTTTGAGATTAATCTATCAAATCGCTTTGCTCTGTTGCAAGACCATTATGGACCAACATGAATAAATAGTCAAAAACATCCTTGAATCTGCTACATCTATAGCATTGTTGGAAAAATACTTTGTACAGTCAAAAAAGCTCTGATGAAACTATTGATTTAATGAAAAAAGAATGAAGAATACCAGAAATTTCACTAATAAACTGAAGTATGTTGAACTTTGCAAGACCATAAAAAAATGTATCCAAGAAGAAACATATCAATTCAATGTGAAGCTTGTGAAAAAGGCAACTGAAGAAAACAAAGGGATTAATAGAGCAAAATGGAAGCTTAAAAATACAAGAAAAGGTTTTGCAGTGAAGATGGCTTTGCGTGTAGAACAAGCCAGGAAAAGTTAGAAATAATTGGAATATTACCTTGCTATTGAAAGATCAGGATCACTCAAATATAACAACATCCACAAAAGAAGAAATACCAGATATCCTAGCGGAGGAAGTATCAAGTGCCATAAAATAAGTGAAAACTAGCAAAGCTTCAGGCAATGACTGTGTTACAGTTGAAATGCTGAAAGCTGGTGGTCATAAGTTACACAAGATACTAGCAAAACTGTACTCGAGATGCCTCAGAAAAGAAAAAAAATACCTGATGCATGGAAAAATGGTTTAGTGATTCTTATACACAAGAAAGGGCCCCAAGATGATTTCAAGAACTATCGTCCAATAACCCTTCTTTCAGTCATCTACAAGGTTTTCACCAAGATATTAGCAAAAAGAATATTGGGAACATTAAATGATGCGCAGCCAAAGGAACAGGCAGGGTTCAGAAGTGGCCACAGCACAATGGATCATATCCAAGTTGTTCAGCAAGTCATTGAAAGGCACAACGAAGATACCATGCCATGTACATGGCTTTCATTGATTATGAGAAGGCGTTTGACTCAGTATTCTAGCAAGCAATGATTAAGGCATTGTTCAACCAAGGTGTAGACCCTGCTTACAGAAACTTACTACAATCAATATATGAAAAAACAATGGCAACCATTTGCCTTAATGATATTAAAGTGGACATCAACATAGAACGAGATGTACAACAAGGTGATACAATACCACCTATACGTTTCTCAGCTTGCCTTGAAGAAGTATTTCACAAACTAGTCTGGGCAAAAAAATGGAATAAAAATAAATGGCACTTAAATCATACATTTTAAGTATGCCCAGAATTAGGCAGAGAGAAGCATTTAGGGACCGTTGAATTAATATAAGCCCATTTTAACTGTGCATTGCTGTGGGTGTCAGATTCAGCAATTAAAGTTAACAAAATAAACTGTTCTTCTGTCTATGTCCAGTGCACCTAGCAAAACCATTTAAATGAGGTTAAATTGAACCTTGAAGTTATGTTGGATGTTTCTATGAAGAAATGCTTTCAGTATGACTTTTGTCACATCTGAGTCAAGACTAAGTGGCAACATTCTGTGTCCTTTAACAAGATTGATTTTTCAACATTTCTTTTGCTTTGTCTCTTACCACATCCAACGTCTTCAAATCAATAAATGCAAGAAATACTTTCCATCTTCTAAGCTATGTTCTAAAATGTGTTTCCTATCCTATATCTGTGTTATTCTTAGAGAAAAATAAGGGCAAATCCCAGTGCATCAGAGATCTTATAAAATAAATGTCAAGCCACCTTAATGGATGTAAAGATTTGATTATTGTAACAAGTCTGCATTTTTCCAAATGGAAATTAAAATCAGCAGCTTGGAGTAGAATGATTTTCTTTAGGAGACTGAGTATTTAGTGAAATCTCTGGACAACTCTTAACATGAAGAAAATTGTGTTGAAACAAAATAAGATAGGAGTCACACAATCAGGTGATATAATTGGCAATGAAGATTAAAAAAACCCCAAAGGTCTCATTTATATATCACGTCATTAGTGAGATAGTGATGAGGCCAACATATGGTCAATATTCTTTACTCTGAAGAATACATAGAGTCACATGTTCATATAACCATCCTTCATAACTGTATGCATAAAGAAACATGATTCACACTTACAGTATTTCTGTATTGATGAGGCTCATAGAACCCATATTTTCTAAAACATTTTTCCATGTTTTATTTAAAAAGGTTTATAAAATGATAAAAAGAGGAAATGTTATTGAAGTGCATTAATTTGTCACTTCAGCAATGTCACATCGCTGCCAATTATTCTCATGGCAAGTAGTGTGTGTGTGTGTGTGTGTGTGTGTGTGTGTGTTGATCCATACACTGTATACTCCTAATATATAGATTTAAATTTAGGCAAATTTGTTGGATGAGCAAATTGAAAATATCAAAGCATGTAGAAAATATTTAAACTCTAACCCTAACAACAGAAGAAAGAGCCATTTTGCCAAATTATTAAACGGGTTTCAGCACTGTGGTCTTTTAAAACATTTAATTCATTTTTTAATTTAACCAGTCAATTAAATATTCTCTCTTAGAAATATGCACTGTGATTATGTGCCCTGAAGCATTTTAAATGATAGAGTAATTTTATCTTCAGAGTATTACTGATAGAATTCAAAAACAAAGTTTTTTTCTTTTAAGTCATACATATTACCTACCGTATGTATGACTTAATACAAAAGTACAGAGCATTGTAATATGTTCATTTATGCCATATTTTTTTAATTGACAAGAGATTCTATTTCTAGCCAGATTGTATAATTCTGTAGCTAAAATGTTGAAACATCTAAATTTTGAAGAATTCCATTTTTTCTCCCTCCTACAATGTATTTGTCCCAATTTGCTATATGGCAAATATTTGCCATATATTTGTATATGGCAAACTATATACAGTATTCACATTCACATATACACTAAAGACAAATTCCTTGTGTTTCCAATCACACTTGGCCAATAAAGAGTTCTGTTCTGTTCTGTTCTGTTCTATTCTATTCTATTCTATTTTAAACAATGCTGTTTTCATTAAGGTTAAAAAAAGGAATTAAAGTTTCATAAATATAACTAAAAAAAATCTACAAGAATATCTCTCATCTTTGATTCTAGTTGACACTCTCAAAATACAATTTACTTACATTTAACAATTATAGATAAATATTCATTGCTAATATGGGAATAGCATGAAAAAGTCTGAGATGATTGACATTAAAACTTAAATTATTCACTGGATTGTCTTCTAGTAATTTATTTCCCCATAGTTTCCAACACAAGTGTTGGAATAAAATTTTAAATCTATTAATGCATGTGGTGTGCCAGGCTACATGTGTTTAATAGGACACATCTAATGTTAATATTCTTAATACCCCCCAAAAATAATCATTAATTGATATAGACAGTGCTAGTAATTTCTCCCCCCTCAAAAAAATCTTACCATAACATTGTATTCCATCACCGCTGTATCCATAGGGGCAGGGTCCACATTTGAATGTCTGATGCTTTGTTGATTCACAGGACACACCAGGGAAACAAGGCATATTTGCACAGTTGACTCGCTTATTAAATGATCTCCAATCAATTACCAAATGGTTTACACCCGAGGCATAAGGCTTTCTGAATGAAGCAGTCCTTCCTGAAATTCTTGACTGCACAGAGCTCCCTTGTGCCTGACTACCTTGATTTACATGAAGAGAAAATGATGATTTCCAATGGAAAGGTGACGGCAACAGTGTGGTCCACACAGACTGTGTCAAATACTTTACTTTAGAACCATGGTCAGAATTAGTCTGGGTAGCTGAAATCCCAAGAGATTTTCCAGAAGGTGACAGATTGGTTGAGGTATGGCTCTGTTGAATAGCATGCAGCCTTGTGTCCATGTGGTCTTGAGTGGAGGTATTCCTTGTGATATCCCCTTGAACCTGCAGTTTATAGTCTGAAAGTTTTTCAGCAGCTCCTGCTTCGTTTTTTTGAAGGAAGGCTCCGTGGGTGCCATTTTTTATTTTACCGAATGGAAAGGTTTTTCCTATAGATGGCGTAAAAGATTGAGGCACCATCCTTTCTTTGAATGGAGTTTGAATATCAATAGTTAAGGGATATCTTGCTGTATGGAAAGTTGTTTCTAATTTTGGAATATGATCTTGTGAAGATGCAGAATCAATATCTTGTAAATTCTTTATAATACCTTGGGAAACAGAGATTTTGATTTTCCCAGGGACTTCCCCAGTTACAACAGGCAGACGTTTTGCAGAACTTGACACTAAATGAAAAAACAAAAGGATTAGCACAAAATACTCTATATTTACTTTTCTCACACACACACCACCAATCCATCCATCCACCCACCCACCCACCCACACATACATATGGGGGGAGAGAGAGGGAGAGGGAGGGTGGGAGGGAGAGAGGGAGAAGGAGAGGGAAAGGGAGAGGGAGAGGGAGAGGGAGAGAGAGAGAGAGAGAGATATGTGTGATCAGGATCTGTGAATTTTTGGGTTTGTCTTAATTATTACTTTTTGGATTTTTTTTTCATTCAATTTATATTGTTTTTTTTTTTTGCTAAAGCACTGAAGGTGGCTCACCAAATTTAAAAATATCATAAATAAAATATACTGTAAAATCACTACAAAATATACAAAATGCTAAAATCAGCTAACTATTAAAAGGAGATATTTCTCTTCTCAGATTTTGTAAATATTTTCTAAACATTGTATTGCTAACTAGAGCATACAAACATTTGCTAGACCAATTCTCGAATACAGCTCATCTGTCTGGAACCCACATTGTATATCGGACTAATACAATTGAGTGAGTCCAGAGAAATTTCATGAGAAGAGTCTTCCACTCCTCTGCTCACAACAGAATACCTTATGCCACCAGGCTTGAAATTTTGGGCTTAGACAATTTAGAACTGCGCTGCTTTCAGTCTGACCTAAGTGTAGTACATAAAATTATCTGCTATAATGCCCTGCATGTCAATGACTACTTCAACATAACAATACATGAGCACACAATAGATACAAACTTAAGGTAAACCGCTCCAAACTCGATTGCAGAAAATACTACTTCAGCAACAGAGTTTTCACCCAACTGAAACACCTTCAAAAGGGTAAATGTTAATGGCTGAAGACCTTTGTAACAACAGAGACAGTTCTTGAATCGGTCAGACTTTAAAGATCAATTAGCATCTTAATAAATATGATCCTCTGTTTAATAAGTTAGGAAGAAATTTATCTCAAATAATTTTGATAAGAATACTGCTACAGTTTCTAACTTAAACATTCAATTGTGATTATCTGTAGAGAAACCTGGTGCCACAACTAAATTTCCCCGAAGCATTCCACAACACACTCTTCCAACTCTGTCCTCCGCCAATCTCAAAGCTTGGAGGGAAAGGCAGCTCTTTGCCACCCAGAATGTTGTTTTTACAAAAGACTGCTGTATTTTCCAGATAAGATATGTATCTTAAATATATTTGTCAGCTAGAAATTCTGTCTATTCCTCTAAAGTTTGAAAATATAACCAATTTTTCACTTGGAAAGTCCTTTCTATCCGCTTCTGATTTTGAAATTATATTCCCAACATGGCTAATTTCCTATTCAAAGGGACACTTACTGTATCAGCTAATTCTTTCCTACACAATACCTTCTCCAAATTAATACTGAGTATCAGAACTGCAACGAAACAAAAGTACTGTTGAACCTTAGTCAAAGTCAGCTATTCTGATAAATTCAGAATTGTCCCTATATTATTATTAGTAGTAGTACTAGTTGAAATCTTCTATTTCTTTTCTAATTTCCTACCCAAGTTATTGATTTTTAAATTTTTGATTCATTTAAAATATTTATATATCACCCTATATCACATTCTCAAGGAGACCTACAGTATCATCTTCCATTGAATGCATAATTGATACATTCCCAAATGGGAGATGCATTGAACTAGTCATAGAGTAGTGTAACAGGATCTTTTTCACTTTGCTTGCCAATATAAGTTTCTAAGGAGTTTTTGAATTAATGAAGAAAATACCCCACTAACTGTGTGATAGACATGTCTGTTTAAAACAGCAAGTGGCAAAATATGGTCTCCAACTTTCTTTTCCATTTAATATTATACTGTACTTTTGGTGGCAAGGATAATCACCTTACTTAAAATGCTACATAATTTACAGACGCTAAGAAGAAATTGGGTTTTACAAGTAGAAATTAGAATCAGAACAGTATTTTTTTTTAATGGCACTGTTATTAAACTATGGAAAAGGGTTAACACTGAAAGGTCACCTGAGAGCCACAGCTTTATCTTTTTCTTTTATTTCAAACAATCTTCAATATCTTAAGACGTATCATCCATTATCCATTGAAGAAGCAGAACTGGTTATACCTGCCCCAATGTGCTACCATATAATTGAAGATGATGAAAAGTAATGGTGACAGCATAAAATGTACAAGGTCGAAATGAAATCTGCATTCCACCCACAAAGCAACATTATTTTGTATAGGATCTGTCAGGATAGATTAATTAATGTGCTTGTATATATGAATAGATAAAAGAAATCAGATGCAAATTGGATATATTCCTGTCTTTAACTCTTGTATAAATATGCAAATAAAGAAGAGAGAGGTGTTTGCTTGGCATTCTCCTTCTAATACAAGAATTTGGTCAAAATAGTTTTGTGGATCTTATGGAGAACGCAAAGATCTGTGCATTTAGGAAACAATAGGATGTGAAGGCCAGGTCAAGAGCAGTTGTAAACTACAGCATGCTTTAAAGCCGAGGGGTCAAACTCAAGGCCTGTGGGTGCTTAGATCTGGCCTCCAGTGCCGCCCTGGAAACAATGAAGGCCTGCTCCCTCTACCATTGAAAATGGAGCTCAGGAGGGCCATGCACAAGCTTCGTTTTCACAGGCAGTGTGCTAGCAAAAGAAATTACTAGCAAAAATGGCATTTGATCACATAAGTGACATCAAGCTGCCCCCCCTGTCCCCCCTGCCCCCCCCAGTCAAATGCAAACCTGCTGTGCAGCCCTCAAGGAAATGGAGTTTGACACCCCTGCTTTAAAGAGATTCTGGCAAAGGCCACTGACATAGGGGGGAACCCCTGAGGTATGTAATTTGTACTTTTGTTCTTGGGGCTCAGTAGTAAAATGTAAACCTTTTACTTCCTTGTGGACTCTTTTTGTGTAACCCCTCTTTTTCTCCATTTCTGGGCAATCAGAAGACCTCTCTGGGGATCATTGATACAGTTTTCATTGTTACAATTGCTGGAGCTTTATTAGCGCTCTCTCTATCTCTCTCCCTCCCTCCCCACTCTCTTGTTTCCTGAGCCAGCTGTAATTGGGAATGCTGAAGAAAAGTGACAGGAGAATATTTTCCCATCATTCCAGAGCAAAACAAAGCAGCCTCAAGAATAGGGCAGCATCCTCAATTTAAAATCATTTATTTAGTGACTTACAACTGTTTTTCACACTTATGACCATCCCCATGGTGACATGATCAAAATTCAGATGCTTGCCAAGTGGTTCATATTCAATGTCCTGGAAACAGGTGATCACCTTTTGCAATCTTCTGACAAAGTCATTGAGGAAACCAGATTCACTTGAGAACCATGTTGTTAACTTAACAACTGCACTGAATCACTTAACAACTATGACAAGAAAGGTCATAAAATGGGGCATAGCTCTCTAGCGAAGGAAATTTTGGTCTCATTTGTGATTGTAAGACAAGTATATTCCCCTGTTGATAACAGGAAAAGCATAGCAGATCAACAGCGGTTGTCATAACATCTGCTGGTCATAGCTTTTGCTGTCCTAATGGCTTGGTTGGTTTACAATCTTGCACATGTAGAATGACTGTTCTGCTACTTGCCCATCAATCCATGGTGAAGAGCCCTTGTCTCTTTTGGATACTTTCTGAGCAGCCATAACGGGCCAGAGAGAATTAACACACAAGCCAAAAAATTCCAGCCTGCCTGTGTTTTATAGTGTTGCTGTTAGAGCTTAGTTTCATAATATATAGCCAATATTCCTTCAAGTCATTGTATTTAAGCATCTGTTTACTTAATTGTATGATTATCTGCTTGCCAGGAATTTAAATTGATTTTTATCAGCCTTTTCATTATTTGCTGGGACAGAAAATTGAATGATTAGATACCTGCTCTACATCACCTCCAGGTTAAATGACTATAACAGTTTTTCCACAGAGCTGGGAAAGCATTCTGAAGATCAGCCAATACAAAATACTGAAGCCTGTTTTTAATTCAGTGAAACTTACCCTTAAATGTATAATTGCTTTGGAGAGAAGATATTTAAATTGCTCCCTCTTTGCATTGAAATCTGCCTACATCGATCTTTGAAGGACACCTTACTCTGTGTTCTACCTCCTGTCTGAAGTGTCAGGCCTGTCTGGGAATGTTTGATACATTTTTTGATAGTTACGATAGCTGGACTTTGAACTAGAATTTAGTTCATACTTTTTTTTCGTGTTAATTGCAGATTTTTAAAAATGTCTGTTTTTATTGAGTTATGATTTTTAATATTCTTACATAATTAAATTGCATTGAGCCAGTTTAATGTGGTTAAAGAGGCAGACTTAGAAACCAGGAGATGGTGAGTTCTAGTCCCATTTTAGGCATGAAAAGGGGCTGGATGATCTTGGATCAGTTACCCTCTCAATTATACCCATCTCACCCGGTTGTTGGGAAAATAGGGGGAAGAAAAAGTATTAGGTATGTTCGACGCCTTGAATTTCTTATCAAGTAATAAAGGCATTATAAAAATCTAATAATTTTTTTCAAAAAATTACATTTGATCAGTTTTATGTTGTATGAAAAAATATAACATTGTTTTATGAGTATTGGAATGTATGTATGTATGTATGTATGTATGTATGTATGTATGTATGTATGTATGTATGTATGTGTACAGTGACGTGCGGTCAGCTTTAAGCCTGGTGAGGCACTTTTTAGACTTGTGGACTTCAACTTCCAGAATTCCACAGCCAGGCATGNTCTTCTTCAGAACAATCGTGACCAATTTTTAAACCCTTAAAAATTTACCAGCAGCACGGCTGGGCTTTTAAAGACAGTTGAGATTCCCCCCCCTCCCCCTTTCCCGGTTTTCACGTTAATTCGGAGCAGAATTAACATCTCCGAGAGATTTTTGCTCTACTCAGTCGGCTGAAAGTGGAGACTAAATTCTGTTTAGAAAAGTTTAGAAAAGTTTTTTTCCCCGGAGATGCTCCAGAGCTGTAGATCGTTTCA